CCCCAGCTGCCCTCTGCAGGGCACTAGGGGGCACTAGGCTGGCTGGAGGGGTCCTCCAGCAGCCCAAGCCCGCTGCCACGAGACCTCCCAACCTGCTTTCTCCAGGTGCGAATTCCTGCTCCAGACAAAGGGATGGGACTTTGTCTGCAATGTCCAGGAGGCTTGTTGCCACCTGCCCGGCTCCTGGGTGAGTCCTGCCTCTCCTTAGGGCTCGGGTGGGGCGGGTCCCTCCCCACCCCCACTCCTCCCTCTACTCAGGGCACAGATGTTCTCTGGCTCCTTTCAGGACCGATTGGAAGAACCAGAAGACAGGGCCCCTGCCACCCCCTCAGGTGAGCCGAGGTGCGTGCCCCGTGCTCTGCTCCCTGGGCACCTGCGGCCTGCACTGTGGCGGAGGTGTTCAGTGCAGGGACAGTGAGGCTACTTGGCCAGGTGTGAGGGTGCTACCTGGGCTTGTGTGGGGGGCAGGGGGCTGCATGCAGGTGCCCTGTGTGTCTGGTGCTCGGGGGAGGGAAGGCAGTCCCCGCTACCACTGAGCAGCCCGCTGTGGGCATCGCCAGTCCCACGGCCGACAATGGGAGCGTGAAGAGAGGCAGCTGTGCAGCCCATGCCCCTCGCCCCGGAGGGGGCTGCAGTCGGGAGCGCGCGGGGGTGGGGGGCGCTGTCTACACCTGCAGCGTGTAGGGACTGCAGGGCAAGGGTCCGAGGGCTCCAGGGTTCAGACCCTGGCTCTTCTAAGTCTGTAGCAAGTGACCTCTGCTCTCTGAGCCTCATCGCCCTGAGCTCTGACACAGGGATGGCGTCGCCCTCGCCTGGAACCGAGCCGGTCTGCGTGATGCTCTGGGAGCAGCGCCCGGCGCCTGGCGGGGTTCTGTCTGTAGTGGCCTGGCGATGAGCTCTTACTATCTTTCCCGTGTGGTGGCGCCTCTGAACAAGGGGGAACAGCCCTCCCTGGAACGTCAACAAGGTGGCCGTGACGGCCACAGAGGCCCTTGGGGGCCGGCCACGGTGGCAAGCCGCTGCCCCTCTCCTGTGACCCTGAGCCCCCCCCCCCAGCCCTCCCTGCCCTCGGCCCAGTGCCCCTCACCCTGCCGGCAGGTGCCAGGGGCAGCCAGGACTGGTCCGCGTGGAGCCGGTGCCCAGCGGTGCGGGCCGTGCTGCGCGTGGGCTTCGGGCCGAGCCACACACAGCAGCTGCCGCAGCAGGCACCAGTGGGCGGCGCCCGCGGGCATCTCCACATCCCAGCTGGCGGCCGACCTATTCCAGGAAGAGGAGGGGGGCCGGGTGACGGCGGCCAGACGTGCGTCCCCGCCCTGGCCTCTCCCTGCTCGTCCCTTCTGGGCACAGCTCTCCTCGCAGCCCCACGGCGCCGGGCACAAGCCCCTCGGCCACCACGCGGGGTCTGCGGGGGCACGTCATGGTGGCGTGGGCCCTGGGGGTTCCGGCATGCCGTGGAGGGGCAGGAGGGGGCTGTGGGGCTGGGTGGGCTCCTGCCAGAGCCAGGCCTGGCCTGTGGCCCCTCCGCGTGGGGTTTCACTTCCCCGGGGGCCTCTAGTCCGTTCCTCACCACCTACAGCTCCTGTCCACACGGGTCCTGAGCTGCCCACGCCCAGAAGAGAGGTCCAGTCAGAAGGTGCCAAGGAGCCAGGTGAGGGTGGGACCCACGGGGGGCAGGGCCACCTCCCCCGCATCCTGACGGAGGGGTCCCCCATTAGCCCAGGACAGAAGGTGGAGGTCTGGGGGTGGACACTGTGTCCTTGGAGGAAGCGGGTGGAGCCCTGGCCCAGAGGGCGCTGCTGGGTTCTCGAACCCCCAGGAGCCCGGGATACAGAAGAGCAGCTGCTGTGCCTGTGGGAGGAGCGGACCTGCAAGGTGTGCCTGGACCGCGCCGTGGGCACCGTCTTTGTGCCCTGCGGCCACCTAGTCTGTGCCGAGTGCGCACCAGCCCTGCAGCTGTGCCCCATCTGCAGGGCCCCCATCCGCAGCCGCGTGCGCACCTTCTTGCCCTAGGCCAGGTGAGTGGCCACGGAGCTACCCACAGGCAGAGCCCAGCCTGGCCTGACGTGGGCACGTCCCCACGCGGGCCTCAGAGATGTCAGGACGGGCCTGGACAGGGACCCCCAGCACACCTTGTCTCCCGCGATCTCAACACCGGGGCTGACTGGCGTGGGCGGCGGCAGGAGGGAGCACCTCTACTTCTTCCAGCTCCCTGGCCCCGGCAGATGTTGCTGATCAACCCATTACCTTCCCTCGACGCTCACACCCACTCTCTGGGTCCTTCTCAACGCAGCACCCCGGCTGGCCACCACCTGCTGGGGCACTTTAACCATACCAGCTGGGCCCAACTCTGCCTTGACTTCCCCAGGGATCGGGGGGATAAAGCCCCTGTCCAGCCGGGTGTGTGGGCTACAGCCAGGCCCAGGGGAGGATGGCTCTGGAGGTGGGGCTGTCATGAGGCAGGGCCTGGGCAGAGACCTTAACCTGGCGGCCAAGGCCAGGCGGGAAGGCGTGACCGGTGAGGGAGGGGAGCGTGAACCTTGGATTTTTATGGCTGGCAGGAAGCATGGCCTCCTCCTGGTAGTCAAAGGATTCTGTGTCCCCCATCCCGTCTCTCCGAGCGTCTTCCAGGGGGGTCAAGTGGCCGGGGAGGGAGCTTCCTGCAGGCTGGAGTCTTTGGTCCATGGACAAGCCAACCAGGAGTAGCCCACTCATCCCTCCTTCTCTCCCAGGTCCTTCAAGAGCTGGTGGGCACCCTGCCCATCTCCGCCTGTCCCTCGGGCCACACGGCAGGCCTGCTGAGGACAGCTGAGCTGGCATCCACAACGGGCTGTCCCAAGTCCCCAGACGCAGCCCAGGGTGGAAGGGAGCTGCAGACGTCATGGCAAAGGGAGTGGGTGTAAAGGTGGTTTTACTGATGCTTGGATGCTTTTGGAGATTCACAATAAAGTGGGTTTTCCCTGGATGGTGCTCAGCAGCCTCTGTTCCAGAAGGTCCCCCGCCCCCGCCCACTTATCAGCGGGGCAGCACGGCCACACATCTCCCCACATGCCTCCTCGTGTCCACAGGGCCCCTTCCGTCCCCTCTCCTCTCCCTCGTTCTGTTCTTCTCTGCGTTGTGAGGACTTCTAAAACCTCTAGCCCCGGGCCACTTCGGAGACTGAGCTTGTAATTCTCCACCAAACTCCTGCGTCTCAGGGAAGGAGGTCTACGGGGCAGCGTCCTTTCTACTTTCTATTTGGGGGTACTGTGGGGACGCTGCAGGACCAGGGCTTAAACCTCTTCTGTGAAGAGCACCGCTGGCTAAGGACAAGGAAGCGCCTTGCTCTGTGGACAGAGGGAGCCTGTACTCCTGGTCAAGCCCAGCGGCCCACCCAGGGCTCCATCGGTGGCCCCTGGGCAGGTGGGGGCTTTGTCTGGGTGACAGCTCACGGCAGCCGGGGTGTGCAGTATTTAATCAGGAGCCCGGCTGCCCGGGGCAGGGGGGTCACTGTGGGTTTACACTGACCTTCGTGGTGGGGTCACACATTCCTGTCTCAAAGTCCCTGTGGCCACCCCTCCCCCAGCCACGGGGTGTGCAGCCTCGGGGGGCCTGGGGCTGGCGTAGGCACCCAGGGTGGGCTCGCCGGACAGCAGTCCCAGGCCGGCTGTGGGTGACAGAGATCCCAGCGCTGCTGGAGGATTCTGTGTCTTCTCTTTGTTTTCGTTTTTTAAGAAAAAGGAAATTATAAATTGTTTTGAAGTTGCAGCCATCCGAAGCCTGGCACTGGCCCTGGCTGGTGTCCCATCACCTGGCCCCGGGGGCAGATGCTCTGGCCACCTGCAGGGCCCTGGGAGTAGGGAGGCCAGGTGAATCTCCCCACAGTCTTCGGTGGTCCCTGGGCCTGGAGGTCGCACACGGGAGGGATTGGTGCTTCTTTACTTACGCAGGCCTGTGGGGACAAGGTGGGGGTGGGCAGAGGTCAGAGCGCCCTGAGGGGCAGCCCTTAGCACCCGGGCAGGAAGGCTGGGGCAGTCAGCCCTCAGCAGGGGCTGCTGTGCCCTCTTGCCTTGGAGAGCCCCAAATGCAAAAGGGACACCATCCCAGCAGCCCAGGGCTTCCTGGCCTTTGGCAGGGGCGGGGCTTCTAGGCAGGCCCCGCCTTGTGTCTGCAGACAGCAGGGTTTGGGCCACCAAGCTGGGGGTGGGGTGAGGGGCCCACCCAGGCTCCAATGGCTGGAGGAGATCCCTAGAGGCCCGTGCAGCCTGGCGAAGTCCCTCAGAGCCCCGTGTGCCCGCGTGTCTGCTCTCATACTCTGCCCTGGCTCGGCGGCCTGAGTGAGGGCTGTCCTGTCACGGAGATGGGACGCTTGCTACCCCTGATGGCCCTTGGCTGAGATGGGCCTTCACTTATAGGGCAGAAAGGGTGAGGCTGCCAAGAGCGCCGGGGTCCCCCGCCACAGGTGTCGCCGGAAGGGCAGGATTGTGTCCGAGGGCCTGCGTGGGATGGAGCAAGTCCAGCTCTATGGAGAGAAGGACCCCCAGCTGGCTCTTGGACCCCAAATTTCAGGATTATGTGTGGGACCTGGCAAAGGCTGCTTGAGAGGAGGTGGACAGAGGCCCAGGTACCCCCACCCTGAGCCTGGGAGAGTGCAGGGTCCTGGACACTGCTTTTTAAGAGCAAAGAAGCCTGATTCTCCAAAGAAACCAACACCCCAAATTTCCTGCTGCAGTGAGACACCTAGAGAACAGCCACGTTGCCCTCCTGGGACGTGGCCTCTCCATGCCCCCCCAGCCCCCTGGCACAAAACCGTCCTAGACCCAACTCCAGAGACTCTGCTGGGCTTGGAGCTCCAGGGGGTGGGGGCCGAGCCCCGGAGCCTTGACACCTCCCTACCCAGCCCAGAGCTGGCCTACGTAGACGAACAGATGATGGATGGATGGATGGATGGGTGGATGGACAGACGGATGTCTGGTGAGGCTTCCACAAGGAGAGAAGCCTCACGGCTGTGCTAACCCAACCGGCTAGACCCAGCCAGGGGCAGGCTCTGCTGGCCAGACATACAAGTACGCCTGCTTGAACAAGAGGTCGGAAGGCTTTTCATTGACATGGTGGAGAGGAAATGGGTCAGATCCACCAATGAAATCAACTGAAAGAAACCAAGACCCAAACAATGGAGAAGATGGCAGAATGGAGAACACACCCAACCACAACCCTGGTGTGGTGATGGCAGAGGCGGGGGCGAGCCTGGGGGCCCCGGGGGAGGGCAGGCACTGCCCCAGGCCCGGCCCAGACCTGGCCATGTCCCTCTGGAGATGAACACTGTGACTCCCGTGGTAAAATATTCCAGTGGACACTGACAAGCTCAGCAGGGGGAGGTGGCCTGCAGGGATGGCCCGGGTCCTTGGGGCTTCGGAGAGCTTCACTGTGACCCAACCATGCCCCCACCACATCCACCAGCATCAGCCACCTGCCCCTTGAAGCTGTGCTGGGCAGCCAGTGGGTAGCTGGGCTTGCTGGGCAGAGCTAACGCATTTCCGAACCCCCAGGTGTGGCTCCCATCCCAAAACATTTCAATGTAACCAACACGTGAATTCCCTCTGGTTCTCTCCCAGCCAGCAGTGGTCTGAATGATGGTTTGGGGGTCATGCAGCACGACAGCTGGGGGAGCTGGGGGCTGGTCCAGAGCAAGCCTGGTCTCCCAGTATAAAAGGATGCCATTTGGACACATGGACTGCCAGCTCCACAGCCACCTGACCCCTGGGAACAGAAAATCTGGATCCCCGTTCTGACCCCAAGGAGGGTTCTGCCCACGGGAGCCAAGGCCCCCTGGGTGCGCCCAGTCCCCATGCACGCCAGCTTTGTCCTCTGTAGAGTCTTCCCAGGAAACTACGCCAAAGCCGGGGCAGTCAGGGCCGACAAGAGTGCCTGAGCATTGGAATTATAAATCAGAGGAAGGTCAAGGGGGCCCCCCTCTGTGAGCAGGAAGCAAAAATACTGCTCCGACGGGTCCAGCGGGCACTGAGGGCCTGATAGGGACACCACAGCCAGGAGGGCCCAATCTCAGCTGCAGGGAGGCCGAGGGGTCCATCCCTCTGCAGGTCTGAGGGTTCAACCTCCCACCCACAGCTGCTGTGGGGGCTGTGGGGGACCAGCTCTGCAGCACAGGAGCCCTTGGACCTGGGGGCTTGGTATGAGCTGACCCCTGATGCCCACAGCCCGGGGCCCCTGCTCATTTCTTCTCAGGTGGCTTGACCCCCCACCCTCTCTGCTCAGGCAAGGACCCCTGAGGGCAAGGGGGATCCATCTAAGAGGCGAGGTCTCAGGCTTTGCAATGACAGGCCAGGAGAATGGCCAGAGTCACTGTGAGCCTTCTGCTCCCCTCCCCGCCGCCACTGCCTGGAGGGTCCAGGCCAGGCAACCAAGAGGCTGTTGTGGGAGCCCGGCAGCCACACACTCACAGCTGTCCTCCTCCTCGGTGAAAACGCTGACCATGTAGCAGCCATAGACGAAGCCCACGAGCTGAAAGACACCCAGAGGTCGGGATGAGGACAAGGCAAGCTCGAGGCGTGGGGACAGAAGCCCCAGAGCGTCCGGACCACGAGGCCACAGCCCCTCCTAGGCCTGTTTCCTTGTCTGTAAAATGGACAAGGAGAGCGGATCTGTGCAACTTCTCTAGCTTTGATGTTCCAGGCGGCGTCTGACTTCCTCTGTGGGGGGCACTGCAGGGATGAGGGTGAGCGGGGTAAGGGCTGGCCAATGGACGAGTCGGGAAGATGAGGCTGAGGTGCAGAGAGAAGCCCTCAGACACACGACCACAGCTGATGGACCCCCAAACTGAACCCCCCCCCCCCAGTTCCAGCCCGGCCATCATCCCCAGGGCCTCTTGCCATAAGCAGCCAACCACCAGCTTTCTCCTCCTTGGGGAGGGGGCACCCACATGCAGCCCTGGCTGGAGAAGTTGGAGCCAGCCAAGCTGGATGGTTCGGCTGCAAGTGCCAAGGACCCAGCACAGCAGGCAGTTCTGGGCAGAGTGGACAGGGCTGGCTGTTGTCCCAAGGGAGTCAGGGTTTTGATTGGGCAGAGGCTCCCCAGCCAGGCTCACAGGAGGACGCTCAGACTTCAGGGGAGAGGGCAGGCAGGCATTAAGTGCCCCGTGGACACCCAGGCACCAGGGCCACTGTGGGAGAAAGGGCTCTGGCTGAGACGGTGCGGGGCTGGCGCTGCCCGTGGTCCAGTCTCTCCACACTTGTGGGGCCCAGGCAATGCTAACCAAGGGTGAGCACCTCCCAAGTGTGGCATTCACCGCCATCGGGGAACTGCATTCCCCTTAAATGAGAATGAGGGGACCACCCCTGACTCACAGCCAGAGCACAGAGTGGTCCCTGAACACAACTGCCTGTTTATAACTTGACAGCAAAACGCATCTCAATGCCACAGGGCAGCTAGAGGTTCCCATGAAAGGCCCACAGCCCCATGTGCTCACAGGGTCTTGGAAGGGGCCGGCAGCCCCAGCTCATCTGGGAGGCTCTGCCCAGGGAAGCAAAGTCAGCCTCCACCGCAGATGCTGGGAAGCTGCCGATGATGGTGAGGTCGTGCTGTCGGGCGTCTGAGCATCTCCCATACCAAGCAACGGTCTCCACCCCAAGGATGGAGCTTGGAGCAAGAGTCTGATGGCGGTGGTGTGAAGGTGCTCCACCTGACCCTCCTCCACATTCTCCACCCTTTGCGGTGTGGATGGTGTCCAGACTCCAGCATCCTCCTGCTTGGGCTGGCCAATGGGGAGCCCAGCAGGAGAGGGGAAGGAGAGAAACAAAGCGTGGATCCCTCGGTCCCTTCTCTGCAGGGCTGCCTCCCAGGGGCAGGGGGACACTCCAAAGAGCTCTGCCTGGATGTAACTCCTCCCCACACCCCTGCAGGCCAGAGGGGCCACAGCTCGGTGGCTATGCACCCAAGGGAGTGGGATACTCTGTGTAGTCCCTGGCATGGCACCCACACTTAGAACAGCCCCTTCACCAGCCCCCGGGAACTGACCTTACCTAAGTGCACCATCTCAGTCTTGCTGGGATCCTGACTGGTCAGAGGGACAAAGAGAAAAGATGCTTCACAGGGGTGACTGCTACGGAGAAGCCCCAGCAGATCTTCTGGGAGAGGGTGGTGGGGTCTGTCTGAGACTAGCACAGCCCATGATGGGGTGAGAAATGGTAGAGGGGAAGGAAGGTGGCCAGCAGCACGGACCTCGGGAAGGACAGTTTCCGGCAGCCTTCTGGGCGTGGCCAGCCCTCCACCAGCAGCGGTGAGACCTGAGGGGTTTGCGTGAGCTCTGGGTCTTGTTTCTTCATGCACAGATCAGGTCCAACGGTCCCCCTCAGTGCCGGGAGGGAGGAGACAAGGTGCTGTGCCCTGCTCTGGAAGCCCCCATCCTTCTAGGCAGCAGGCAGTGGGCCTGCTCTATGCTGACTCAGACAAGCCGGGCTCCTCCCAAACAGCCTTCCGGGCGCTGCTGTGCGGCTGGGCCGGCCGCGGTACCTGGCGTTCCTCCCTGGAAGGGCCCAGGGCCGGAGCTGGCCGTGGTGCTGAAACCGCCTCCCACCCCAGGGCTCTTTCTCCACGGGGTCCTGCAGGAGGCCACCCCATGGCCACCCCTCTGCCTTCCCACCTCCTGTCTGTCGTCCGCGCTCCACCCCCAGCTCCTCCCTGGAGCTCCCAGAGGCCCGCAGTACCTGCAGACCCCGTTCCACCAGCACTGGGCTCTCTGCCTCCTTTGGCTGGTTCTCTCCTTGCCAGCCAGACTTCAGGCCAGCCAGCTAAGGGCTTGCTTCTCCAAGCCCTCCAAAACAATCATCAGAGGGCTGGCTCCTGCGAGGCCAAGCACATACTAGCTGACCAGTATTTAGAAACTCGTATTTCTCGAGGGAAACGTCCATCCCTGCAGGTGAAGGATGGCAGCAACGCAGTGGTTTCTCCCACCAACACGGGGAACTCTCCTCCAGTACCAGCACCAGCATGTTGGAAACTCCCACCAGGAATCCTCCTTTGTTAGTCCCCAGTTTCCTTCCTGTTGCCTTTTCACAAATTCTGTAAATGACTTCAGAAGCATCGAGGAGTATCCTTGTCAAGTTGGTTCTTTCTCCTTTCGAAGGAAGGCACCTGGGTTCCCATGCATTTTCAGGTAACCGTGGCCCTCATTTTATATTAGTGAGTGAGGTCCGCAGCACAGAGGGAAGGGCAGCTCTGGTTCCTGGCTATGGGGGCAGAACCCTAAATGCTGCATAGTCTGATTGTCTGTAGGGCCTAAAACCCGGGCAGGAGGGAACCTTGAAGTGTGCAGGCCACCTGAACTGCCATGTTTTCTCATGCCATGGACCCCCATGGACAGCCATGGATGGCCCTAGATTCGGAATTCATTTTCCAATGTCAGCTGCTGGTTGCAGAACCTCTGTCCTATAAATCCAAAATCCACCTGGACACATTGATATTGACACCACTGTTTGAACCAGGCAAAGTCAGGAGCCTCCAGATCTGACCGGTCCCCTCCAGTGACCGCAGAGGACACGCCCAAGCTCCCGTGTGTCTTCCTCCAGTGACCGTAGCAGACATGTCCGAGCTGCCCGTGTCCTTTGCCGTGTTCGTGAAACTACTATCCAACACCGACTGAGCACCTACTGCATGTGTGTTTACCGGAGCCTTTACCTGCTTTCCCCCATCAGGCCCTTCCACCAGTGCTTCCCAGTTTACAGAACAGGAAGCTGAGACAGAGAGGTTAAGTGGTTCACTAAGGTGGCACCAGCCGGACCCAGGTCATCAGCACTGTCCAGGGCTGGAGAACTTTAGCCAGGTTGGACTCTGTTGTGTGGTGCCAGGCTCACCTGGATGAACGCTCTGAGGTTCTGGGGCGAAGCCATCTGGCTCCTTACCACTAGGCCTTAGGTTCTGTGGGCCTCCTGTGACCCACGTGGGCTCAGGGAGCGTGGCAGAAGTGGGGCAGGACAGGAGTAAGTGGGTCCCGTTGGACAGTCAGCTCAGGAGGTCCCTTGCCCCGCCTCCCCAGGGGCCAGCAAAGCCTGCAGCAGGGCCTGTCCCTGGCCTGACCTGACCCTCCACAACTCACCCCAGCCTGCACGACACGCAGCTTCAGAAAGGGGCCCGGCCAGTCCCCGGGGGCAGCACTTTGCCACGTGAGTCCTCCAGGAGGACCCTAAAGTCAGTGACTGCTGAGATTTAAGGAAAAGGGTAATGAGATCTGATGCAGAAAATGCACAGGAAGAAGGCTGTGAGAAAACAGAGCCGCATCCGCCGGCCGGGACAGATTTCCCAGGCCCCGGCTTTGAGGGGCCTGGTGACGGGGCCATGCTTTCTGGAATACATAGGCCACATGCTCACGGTCAAGGCCAGCCTGGGCTCTACTGACCAGACAGCTGTGTCCACAGCCACCCAAGTCCCAAAGGAGGGCATGTTGCAGGTGCCCCCCACTCCCTGAACAGGGCTTGTCACCCCCCTTTCCCCCCCCACGGCCTCATCTGGGTTCAAGCTCCTTGCAGCCAGCTGTCTGATCTCAAGTCAGACTATGGGCCTCCATCTTCCTCTTCTTCAGATGGGCCCTTATCTCTCTGGGGGAGATGGCGGGGAGAAAGAGTCTCCCCAGGACTCAAATCCAGAGATGTTGGGCCTTGGTGGAAGATGGGACTCTGGGCCCCATCTGCCTTGTCCCAGCAGCGAACCAACAGCAGGGAGAGTCGGTGCTCCTGCAGAAGCCCCGGGGCCGTCCTGGTGGGCCTCCCCGGAACTCACGCCCTGCAGGGCCATCTCCCACCCTGACCAGGGCTGACCTGTGCAAACACTGAGATCCTCCAGAAATGACCGAGTGTGATGTCCAAGACAGGGTCTCAGAGGCCATGCAGCTGCCCCTCCCCGTCCCTCTCCACCTGCTCGCCCTGCAGGACGAGCCGCCCCATGGTGAGGATGCCCCAGCAGCCCTGGGGAGAGCCCACGTGCAGGGGCCTCCTTGGAAGCAGCACCTTCAGCTCCGGTCCAGCCTTCAGGTGACCAGAGCCTCTGCCGACCACTGACTGTAGCTTCGTGAATGATCTCAAGTCAGAAGCAGCCGTTTAAGCCATTCCCAGACTCCAGACCCGCGGAAAGATTTATTGTCTCAAGCCACGATATTTCAGGATAATACGTTACAGCTGCAGCCAACAGCTCCTACAGGGGGTCCAGCTCCGTACCCGCAGTCGCCCGCGCTGGCTTTGGTTTTCCCCGTCCACACGCGGGGGACACAAGGCAGGCACAGGAGAATGAGGGGGCGACATCAGCCACGCCGTGTGCTGGTGCCCTGCGTCCCCCACGCGCCCTGCCCCACCCCAACTGCAGCCAGCCGGAGGCACAGGCGCCGAGTGCCACTCTGCAGCGGATTTCAGACTCTCCCCTTAGAACAGGGCTCGTGAACGTGGGTAGAAGTAGCTTCTACCACACCCTCATGGGCTCCACGAGGCTTAGCGCTTCGGTGCTGAGTGCAGACCCCGGACCCTAGCAGCAGCAAGCCGGGGGCGCTCTGCCGAGGACTCCGGCCTCCCACGCAGTTGGTGCTTCAATCCTCCTCCCTGCTTCCCATCTAGCCCCAGAGCCCCTCCGTGGGAGTCAGAAGCCAGGCGCCCAGACCTCCGTGGGGCGTGGGGGCTGACTGTCTGGGTCACAGAAGAGAAACTGAGGCTTGGAGAAGCCACGGGTTTATCGCTAGACTCAGTCCCCCAGGAGAACTGCTCGCCCAGCCTGGATGGGGCAGAGGGTGCCGGGTGCCGGCTCAGCTCCTGAGGCCTGCAGACTCTCGTGCCCACTCCCAGCCCCTGCATGAAACCCCTCCTCTGCTCGGGACTTGCAGATAAAATACAGGACACCCACTTAAATTTGAATTTCAGATACGTGATGAACCACCGTGTCAGCGTCAGAGTGTGTCATAAACACCGCGTGGGACGCACGTACGCGAAAACTTGCTCGGTGTCTGTCTGAAGTTCAGATGTGACCAGGAATCCTGTCGTTTTATTCACAGGGTCACAGCCCCCCATCAACACAGCAGTGCGGCCAAGCTGCGTCTCCACCCCCCTGACTGTCAGGCGTCCGTTCTGACTCGGAGGAGGCTGGGAAGGAGCCTCCAGGGCCAGCAGGGGCATCAGATACCTCCAGTGTGGTCCCCTGCCCCCCCCCCCCCACAGCACCAGCAGAGCCTGTGGGTCTGTCCCTTCTTTCCTCCGCACACCCACGCTGGGGTTTCCTCCGCACACCCACACTGGGGCTGGAGCTGGTTCCAAGGCCACTTCACAGAGCAGCCTGCTGAGGCTCTACTGACAGGGAGGGGGACCCAGAGGAGGCAAAGTGGGAGGCCTGGCCCAAGAGCAGGGTGAGCCCCTCCCCCAGCCCCCCCCACTCACCGCCAACTGGATCTGCAGGGCACTGTGCAGGGCTTCGGCGTAGCCATGCTCCAGGACACAGCCAACGCCTGGCCCCAAGGCCGGTCCATCCGGGGGCCCCAGACCAGCTTCTGGCTCCTCACGCAGGCAGCCCGGGCCGTGCTCACGCCACCAGGACCAGTGCCGGGAGAGGCTGAAGGTCAGGAGCTCGCTGTCCTGGGGGTGAGCATGGGAGCAGGTGAGCAGCAGGGACCCTGCCCACCCACCCGTCACAGTCCAGTGTGGGCCCCCCAATGGAGGCAGGGACCCCAAGGCCCTCTCAGCCACTCCCCTGCAAGCAGGCCTCCCTTTGCTTGCCCTGGCCCCCTACCCGGCTCACACCCCCTCCTCCAGGAAGGCCTCCCTGCCCAGGTCAGACCCTGGGGGTGTGTTCTCACGGTGCTCCAGGCCCCTCCTTCACGGCTTTGGCCATGGCTGCCATTTTAGGTGTTTGAACTAACGTCTGTCTTCCCTACCCTGCTGCCCCAGGTGTGACCCCACAGAGCAACAGCCAGTCTGCCCCACGGCCTACCTGGAGTCAAACCCCACCCGCGATCCTGGCTCGGAGCTTCAGGCAACAGTGAAATAAAACCTCATGGACAAAGTGCCCAAAACCACCGCTCAGGATTTGTTCACCACCAACACTCCCCGCAAACCATGGCTTGGATGTGGGCCCCTGCCTCCACGGGAGAGACCGGTGGGCTTTACCAGCATTTGAAAGAGCCTGGCTCCCTAGAGGTGTTCCCACCTGCACCCTCGCAGCCCTGGTCCTTCTGCTCCCTGGCCCCCAGCCCTGCCTCTCCTGCCCGGCACTGCCCTGGCTCCAGGGCCCCTCCTCCAAGGCCACTGCCCACCAGTGCCCACAGTCCCCTGTCGACCCATCAAATCACTAGTCTTCCCCAAACCTTTACTGAGTCCCTCCTGTGGGCCAGGGCTGTCCCGGGTGCCAGGGCCAGAGCCAGGAACAGACCATGGGGGAGACAGTGACCAACAAGCAGGTGCGGGTAATGCTCACGGGGGCCTGGCCACAACCCCTCGACTTACCTTTGAGAGTCCCCCCACTTCCAGGTAGAAGCAGATAATGAAGACGTTCCAGGTGACCCAGATGGCCGCCCACACCGCGTACTAGAAAGTTAAGAAAGGGGAGAGGTGGAGAAGGTGAACTCAGAGCACCCTTGGAGGAGACTTGAGCCGGGGGGACTCTGCTCCCCAAGTCTGGCAGCCAGCATGCTCCGTTTGGAGGAGGACTTCCCCGAGCCCACCCCAGGACAGGTCTCAGGGTGGAGCGGCTGAATCCCGGACTTCCCGGGATGTTCTGGTGGTTTCTAGGACATGATGCCGCCCAAGGCCCCGTGCTGGTCATCCCGCCCCACCTGCCCGTGGGAGGGGTGCGGGAGCACAATGAACTCACCACCACAATGTAGCGAGGCCAGTACTGGATGGTGCCCAAGGGCTCCAGGATGACCATGACGATGTGGACGAAGGTGGCCAGAATGGTGCCCACTGAAAGCCCAGAAAGTCAAATACCTGATGCTCCAAGGCAGTGACCTAGGGGTAGTGGGCAGTTGAGGGGCAGCGGGCCCCCGAGGGCGCCCCAGGGCCTGCCTCTCCCACCCAGTCACCACCACCCAGCATCTGCTATGGTCTTGGGCCCTCCAACAAAAATCTCCGAATGCATCTGGCCCCCAAGCCTCACCTTGGGGTGTCCCTTCTGCCTTGAAAGGCCCTCTTTGGGCAAGCACCGTCCCCTCCGTCCTGGACTCCCTCAACCCAAGCGTGGGAACGCCGGGCCGCTCTGACTCACGTGGTTGCAGGCCCAACCACCAACCCAGGGCAGGATGCCTGAGGCCAAGTCACATGGCTCTGGGGCACTCTCGGCAGGAAGCGGACGCTGAGGCTCTGTGGCCTTCAGGTCAGCACCCTCCCCGTCTACTGGGCTCTGTCCTCACTCCACGGACTGTGGTGGATTCCCGCCCTCCAGCCCTGCAGGCACGGCCAACAGAGGACCAACTGGAGGCACTCAGAGATATCTGGGGAGCTCGATTGTTTTTAAGGTCTGCGTCTTTGTTTTGTTAGTGATCTCTACACCCAGCGTGGGGCTCACGACCCTGAGGGCATCAGTCACATGCTCCCCTGACTGAGCCAGCCAGGCAGCGCAGGAAGGTGATATTTAATCCGCAGGGGAGACCTGCTGGCTCTGATCGCAGTCACAACTCCAGAACGCACCCACGCGTTCACGCGTTCGTTCACGCGTTCTCTGAACCTGGCCCATCACCAGGAGAAACCAGGACCGTATACACTGGGAGAAAACACGGCCAAATCCACTGCACCCGAGCCAGCACCTTCCCGTCCATGTGCAAGACAAGGCGCGTCCAGCAGGGGTTGGAGGGGACTGGCCATGTCCTGGAAGGGACAGCGGCAGCGAAGGGACAGCATCCTGGCAGGGCTCCTGGCTGCACTCTGCAATTCCCCTGCGCCCCACTCACCAGCACACCATTGGCACGGGGAGAGCCAGTCCCCGACCCAGAGCTAGCTCAGCTGGGTGGGCTGTGTGGGGGCCGCCTGCTGACTCGAGGAGAGCCCCTCTGAGCAAGCCGCCCTCAGGTCCCTCCCACAGGCTGGGTGGGCTGGAACCATGAGCGAGCGGGCCGGACAGGCCTCCAGGCCCCACACTGCCCCGCACCGCAGCGAGGGACGGACAGAGCCTGGCAGGGTGGACCTTCGTGGACTTCACACCTGCACTCCTGCAGGAGTGCCTGGCCCTGCCTCCACCCTGGCTCCTCACAGGACCCCGACCTGCCCCGGAAACAGCTGCTGTGGGTGCATCCTGGGCCCTGCTGGCCGCTGTGTATGGCCCCAAAGGGGTGGCGGATATTTCCAGGAGGACTCTGGCAGGGGGACATTCCAAGTATGCCCTGCAGAGGCTGGTCCGTCCAAGGAGACAGCTGGGAGTGGGGACTGGGGAGCGGGCCCGCAGGCAGGGCACACGCCAGGCTCTGGGCCACTTTCCTGCATGCCACAGCCCTCCCGCCCCGCAGGCCTGCCGTGGTTGGGTTGCTCCAGACCAGCCCCCTGAGGCTGGGCGGCTTGGCCAGGAGGTGATGGGCATTGTCTCCCAAGACGCAGACGGTCTCCAAGGAGAACCAGGGCCAGCCAAGCCCCCACCTTTTGTCTCCTACTTTGCTCAATGCCCAGCGGGCGTACCCAGGGTCCAGCAGGTCACTAGACCCCCCCCCCCGCCCCCCGCTTGCTGTGCAGAGAATGAGTGGTCTATTACCAACACCGTCTCGAATGCTCAGTAAAGTTCTGGAAGGGTGTGCGGCGCCGTCTCTGTGGTTAAGAAAGCTTCAGTCGGAGCCCGAGTCCCCAGTGGGCAGCTAGGACCCCTGGGCCTGGCCCCTCCCCTCACTGGAATGCCCTCAGAGCGAAGAGGAGGGGGCTGGGCAGCTGCTGGGAAGACTGTGGGCCCCCGTCCCCCGTCTGATGCTATCTGATTGTGGCCTCCCCGACCTCTGTGCCCACGGTTGTGGACCCCAGGGGACATCCTGGGGCTAGGGGTGTTCCTGCCTGGTGGCCTCCCAGGAAGGGGATGGAGGTCAGAGGGCACTAGCAGGTCAGGAACGGGGGAGGAGGGCTGACTCAGGGCCGTGGGCACGCTGGGCAGGACGCACAGAGACCCAGCTGCCCACGGGACGGCCACCTTCACCACGTGGACTCTGCCGTCAGCGTTGCCACGGTGTGCTCATGCAAGTCTGTCTGTCTGTCCCCTCCCAGGGCATCCATCCGTGGCACGAGCCCGCGGTTGAGGGAGGGACACTCACCAGGGCCTCCAAGCCATCCTTCCCCCACCAAGAAAGTGGCCCCGGGGGCACAGTCTGCTCACCAGCTGCTGCCTGGCCTCCTGCCTCCCACCCTTCCCGTAGCCTTCTTTTCAGTTCAGGACAGAGAAAACGCTCACGCTTCACTGGCTCCCAAAGCCTGCACTGATCTTTTCAAAACGTGGGGCCCCCATGCCCACCCCCACTCCCCCAACACGCACACATGTGTGTACGCACCACTCCCCGTGTGCATGGCTCATGGGCTTCAAGCCCCTTCCTCCAGCAACGCTCCAGCCCCCTTCCCTGCCCCCAGGGCCGGCTGGCGGGGGGGGGGGGGCAGTCCACCTCCTCCCGGCCTTCCCAGGTCTGTGGAGCAGCACCGGCCCTTGGCATGCTGCACCTCTCGCACTCAGAGGCCCCCCCAGGATCTCCAGGTCACTCTGGGGCAGCCAGTCCCGGTCTCAGAGGCCAGGGGCATAGCCACCCCTTCCACGAGGCAGGATGTCCTGGCTGCAGTTCAAGGCTGAGTCAGAAGGACAGAGAAGCTGCCCTACATCCACACTGGCCAGGATGGGGGCACGGGGCGCAGGACCCAGCCAGCACGGCACCCACTCAGAGGGCCACCTCCGCCGTGACGGAGGCTCATCGACCCCATCAGGAAAGAGCATCTGGATCCTTGTGCCCCTCTGGACGCTAGAGCTTGAAAACAAAAGCTCAGCGCAGAACTGCTTGAGTCTCTCCGAGAAGAGCGTCATCCTGGGCATCCTCACTGCAGCCTCACCGGGACGGAAGCTGGGGCCCACCTCACAGCACCACAAACATGGGAACGAAAGAAAGCTTCAGGCTTGGGGCCTCCTCCTCCCACCACCTGAACCAAGACAGGGTCACAGCTAACAAAGGCCAAGTCAGAGTGAAAGAATTATCCAAGTAGAAGCGCCCGCGTGGCTCAGTTCTTGAGCAGCCGACTCTTGGTTTTGGCTCAGGTCATGGTCTCAGGGTCGTGGGATCGAGCCCCGCGTCGTCGGGCTCTGCGCTCAGCAGGGAGTCTGCTGGAGACTCTGTCTCCCTCCCCCTCTGCCCCTCCCCTTGCTCACGTTCTCTCTCTCAAATAAATAAGTAAATCTTAAAAACAGAAAAAAGAATTATCCCAGGCAAGGACCCCCCAGGAAGAGGCACCAGAGCTCCCTCATGGAAGGAAGCACGCAGTAGGGTTCTGAGTCATGGTACAGAGTGGAGACCGTAGCACCGAGCTGTTTTCAGGGGATGAGGACAAGCAGAAATAAAGCCCCCTCCCCAGGACCCCCATCTCCTGGCTCACCAGAGGTCGCCCTGCGCCAGCCCACCGCCCAGCCCTCCATGGCCCCATCACGGCCAGGGGGCAGCAGCCCCCACCCGGCTTGGGTCCCGGTGCCGGGTGGAGTAACAGAACTTCCTCAGCTACACCGACTGGGGGAAAAGAGACAGGCGCCTGGAGGCAGAGATCCTGCCTCCCCTGCCTCATGAGAGCCCAGCCCAGCCTGACCGGACAGCCGAGGGGGGGGGACTCAGACCTGAGCTCTTGGCCAGCCCCACGACCCTGGGCCTGAGGGGTCAGGGACTGGGTGGGCAGGGGAAGCCTGGCCAGGCTCAGATGGGTATGGTGGGTGGCGAGGGGCGAGTGGAGGGACTGGTACGAGGGCAAAGCTCTGGAGGTGGGCGGGGGTCCCAAGCATGAAGGGCCTACGCTGTGATGCGGGGCCCTGGGGGCAAGGAGAAAGAGACATGCACACGCGTGTACACGCAGACACGCGCACACATGTGTGTGCACATCACAGCCTTCACGGGCACAGCTGGCCAGCACCATCTGCTCTCGACTGAACGAAATTACCCTCTGAGCCCCAGGCCTCCTCTCTGGCCCAGGTGACCCTAACCGAGGGGCTGGGGTACATGCCCTGCCCAGCACCCCTGCCAGAGTGCCACGGATGCGGGGGAGACCCAGGTCCCCTCCCAGCTCCCCCAGCCCCGCACCGTGTCACGCCGGCCCTGTTCTCCAAGGTCCAGGCTCGTGCCCGGACTGGAGGTGCGTCCCTGCTACCGGCTGTGCTCCCGACAGACCCTACAGCTCGTGCACGTGTCCAGCACAGGCAGGGCCTTTCGTTTCTGAGCCACGCACCAAAAGGCCTAGCACTCCATGGTGCCGTGTGGCTCGGTGGCCACGTTCTCGAGGCAGGGAAAAGACGAGTGACTGAGCTCTAGTGGCCACCCACCCTAAACCGCGTGGCTTCCCCCTCGTCCGCGTGGCTGGGAAACCATCACAGTGTGCTCCGCCTGGCTCAGAGCCGGCAAAGCTCACGCTATTCCTCAGGGAGAGGGCTCGTGGAAGAGGTGCTCGGGCCTTTGTCCACTAGCTTGGTAATGAGAAAACTCTCAAGCTTGTCAAAAAGAGAAAAGAAAAGCCACAGGACACACACACACCCCCCGGCGCCCCCGCTCCACATGCGGTGACCAGAGCGGTGGGTGGTGTCAGAGCTCTTCCTTCTGCCTCCCCCTCCCCCCAGCAGAGGAAGCACAGGGGTGGCCAGGGCTGAAGGCCTTTCATGGCTCTCCGCTGCTGTTCAGCCGGGGCCCGACTGGCCATGTGGGGACACAGCTCTGCCCCGGCCCTAGAACTTGCCTGGCTGAGACCCAGAGTCTTCAAAAAGCCCCACGTCCAGGGGAGCCTGCTGCCCTTGGGGGCAGGCAACTTCTCCGGGACCTGTGGGGGTACCCCCCGGGGCACCGTCCACTGTCCACTTTGGAGGTGAAACAGGCAAATGACCCTCTCTGAGCCTTCAAGCCCCGGGGCCACATCCCTCACCCAGTACATCTATTTCTGCTGCCCGGAGCCCCAAGTCACAAGCCAATCCTGACCACATCCCACACACCAAACTCAACACATGGAAACCAAAGTCACACTAACCCCCGAAGGCCACTCTGCTTCATGATGTCCAGACGTGACCAGACTGCTGACCTCCTGATCAGCCTGGGCTCCTTGCCATCCTTTATCACATAGACCTTTCCTTCCCCTCTCCTGCTCCCCCACCCCACCCCCAGGAGCCTCCTACCAAAACAGAGAGGGGGACACTTCTGCTCCAAGATGGAGATAGCTCCCTGCTGCCGGTGGAGTAGCCCTTGGGCTCTAGCCTTTGGCGAAGCCCAGAGCTTCCTCCCAGCCTTATCTGTCCAGCACAAACCCTGCAGATGTCCACCTCCCCCATCCTCCCATCACCCCCACCCCCTCAGGCTTCCAAAGCACTGTGTGTGCGCCCACAGGGAGCCTCTGGCCACTCCTTCCTTCCTCCCCATGGGACACACCAGCCTGGTATCTCAGCCCCCTGCCAACTCTGCACGCAACCCTCACCCCCACGCAATGGACAGGCAAAGGACAGGATGCCCTGTGTGTGGGAGGGCTTTCTGCTTAAAACTTCATCCTCCATGAGCCTTCAGGCTTCCAGGGAAGGAAGACCCCTGCCCGGCTGAGCCAGAAGCCCACCCAGCCTGACCTCCACAAGGCAGCATTTCCTTTTTAAGATGGGAGACCCCAGGGCTCAACAGCATCTCCTCCCCAGGCCTATGGCCAGGGACCTCAGTTTAGCACTCCACCACCCCACCCAGGGCCTTGGGCTCTGGGAATGGGACTGACCAGGCGGCCTGGATCTCCGAGGGCAAAACGGAAACTTGGCGGAGGGATGCCCACGTTCTCTGACAAAGCTCTGGATCCAGAGGACCAGCTAATCCCCAACACAAAAGGCGCCCAAGTGCAACTCTGGGCACCAGCTCGCACCTCTTCTCTCCTCCGCACTCTCTCCAGGACAGGGAAGGGGCGAGGGGGCCGCATCCCCCAGCTTGGGAGGCGCCAAGGGCAGACAAGGCCGCGCTCACACACCGCTAACACACACACTCACGTACTCGCCAGCTCACAAGCACACCCCCACCCCCAGGCTGTCAGGCTGTAGAAACGGGCCGCCGCCGCTCACCCAAGGGCCTGGCGCTGGCTTTGCAAAGTCCCCGCGCGCACATTCGGGGCCACACGCGCCTTCGACACTCGCGGACGCCGCGCGCAGCAGCGCCCTTCCGCGACCGCGACCGACTACCCGACTCACGCGCGGGCCAGGCTCCCCCTGCGCCCACGGACGCGCCTCGCCCGAGGCGCCGGCGACAGCAGGGTCCAGGAGCCCCGCCCGAAGGCTTCTGTTCCTCCCGGCACCTGTCCGCGCCGCTCGGGTCCCGCGGCTGCCCCCTTCCCCGCGAGCACACACACCCAGCGGGGCGCTCGGGTCCCGCGGCTGCCCCCCTTCCCCGCGAGCACACACCCAGCGGGGCGCTCGAGGTTGGCGGGAGGGGCCATCGGGGTCGCGCGCAGGACGCGGCTCCCGCCCCTCCCCGGACGGCGGCGAGCTTCGCCCCAGAAGGCCGCGGGCCCGCACCGTCGCCAGCGGGAACCACCCCCACCCCGCGCGCTGGGACCGCGGCACCTGAGGAGGGGCCGCCACTCACCAGCTGGAAAGCGCAGACGAAGATGAGCGCCGCAGCGGCCGGGCAGCAGCCCCTGGGGTCCGCGCCGTCCCGGGACGCCGCCTCCGCCAGTCTGGACCCCTGGCCACGCGCGCGCGCGGGGTGCGGGGCCCTCGGGCCGCCCCGCCCGTTCTCGGCCGGCTCCGCGAGGCCCCACCCCGAGGCGGCCCCCGCCGCACAGGCTCCCGACCGCCGCCAGCCGGGTCTCAGCCCGCGGTCACCCGCCCCTCAGCCCCGGGCGCCCCCCGCCCCCACCCCCTGGCCCAGCTCCGCCCCTCCGAGTAACAGCTGCGCCGCCTCGCCCTCCTTCCCGGGAGGGTGGGTGGGGCTTCGCGCCAGCTGGGGAGGGACGCGAGACCCCTTCTTAAAGCGGCGACGGCGCGGCTCCTCAGGAGTACGGAAGCCAAGCCCTACGAGCCTGCCCCAGACAAATCCGGCAAAAGCAGTAGCCCTCCCCTCCCCTGCCCGTCACCCCCCACTAGGCACCTCCTGCGTCTGCCCCCATCACCTCCTCCCTCGTGGAGCCCCAGATGCACCCCATCCCCCAGGCTCCTGGACAGGGCTCACAACTCAGAGGTCCCCTCCCAGGTTGGAGAACTCAGGAGTAGGAGGAGGGGTGGGATGGCCTACCAAGAGCTCACCAGCCCAGAGAATGTGAGGAGACCTGGGGGCCAGGTCCTCTCCAGCTGTGTCTGGGGCAGGGCAGGGTCCGGCCTGAGGGGGAGAGACCCTGGGGAGCCCCCAGCATTGCAGGCAACTTGAGGCATAGGTCTTGTGCGTTGGAGGGAGGACTGGGGGACAACCCTGCTATACCAAGATGTGGAGGTGGGGCTGAGTGGGGTCAGGGGCAGATGGAGAAGGGAGGCAGGTGAGGTGGGATGCAGACGCTTCGCACACATTCTGGGTTGCATTTTATCCTCCAGTCATAGGGAGCCGCTGGTGTTCTTGATCAGTGTGAGCCCTTGATCAAGCCGGTCCTCAGGAAGTGAATCCTATGCTGGAAGCCAGGAGGCAGTCCTTGAGCAGAGCACAGGGGGGTGTGGGGATGAGGGTCCTCCTCCAGGGCGGCACAGCAGGTGACACTTCAGCCTTGGGCCATTGCTCTTGGCTCCAGCAGTCCAGGGCCAGAGGGTCCCAGCCCCTTGGTGATGGCTTCCCTGGCTGAGCAGCTCCACCAGGCAAAGGGGCATCTGCAGCGTGCTCACTGCATACGCTCCCAGGAGCTCTGAGCATCCCCTTGTTGCCAGCCCCTTCACAGGGGGGCGAACTGAAATCAGTTTCCCATGGTGACCTCAATTCCTGACCCCACTCAGGGCATTTATAAGGCACCGAGAATTTTCACCTACATGATACGGTTAACAGTCCCACAGCCCACTTAACAGAAGAGCAAGGTCAAGTTCTGGAGTCTCTAGCCAATTAGAGAGGAAGCCACACCAGATCTCTAACCCAGGTTCTAATGAGGGGTGCAGCTCTCAGACCCCATAAATAGGAAAGGTTGGGAGGAAAAGTTTGGTGGAAGGGGGAGTGTTCTCAGATGGGGGGGTGTTTGTTGATGGGAGGGAGGGAGGGAGCATGCAAGATTGGGGCACAGGGAGGTCCCTGCAGATCACTCAGACAGCCTTAGTGGGGCTGGGCTGGGCAAGAAGAAGGGACCTCTAGAAGTACCCCCTCCCATGTGAAGTCCAGTTCCTGACGGGATGATTCAGCAGGCTTTGGGCAGGGTGGGGGCGCTATGGTGACAAGACCATGCATGGGAAACATGGACTCACCACCCAAGGTCTTTGATCTTCTTTGCAAGACTTGACCTTTAGAACACCCTGAACGAAGGGACTTCCTAGGAAGATGTTCATAAAAGATTATTCAGTGAAAAGAATAGGTGGGAAAATATTACATGCAATGGGGACTCAAAATCAGCATCACAGGCATGAAGGGACAATGACTCTGTGCTATGGGGGGCTGGACACTATGGGGCTCTAGCAGCATCCCTGGGCTCTTCCCACTAGATACCATGGCATCCCACTGGTCATGACAATCAAAAATGTTTCCAGACATGGACAAATGTCTCCTAGGACAGTCCTCACTGCTGTAAAATGTGGTCTCGATTTTATCAAAAGGAAAGTGCGATGTATGCTCCTGGGGGGCGGGATGGCAGATCTGGTCACCAGCTGACAGCGTGTGAGCCCTTGGTTCCTTGGCTTCCCGGAATATCTCTCCCGGTTACGTTCTCCCATCTGCACCCATGTGTGGGCGATAGCTGACACTGTCCCATCTGCAGACAAGAGACCGGACAGCCCAAGGCCCACACAGGAGGCCAGCGAAGCATCTATAGTTCCCAGCAAGCACCTGAAAAGGGAAATGCAAGTCAAAACTGCAGGAAACACCACTTCACACCCACCACGGTGGCTGGAATCCATCCTTCCATGTGCTGCGCAGGATGTGAATGGGCACAGCCACCATGGAAAACCGTCTGGAAAGCTCCTCGAAAGGCTGACGTATAGTTACCATAGGAACCAGCAATTCCAGGGACATGCCCAGAAGAAACAGCTCGGCCGGGGCAGGGAGAGCTCGTGCACCCTGTTTGTAGCCGTGTCATTCGTAAGAGCCCAGGGAGGAAACAGCCTGAGCGTCCCAACATAAAAATGTGGTCTATGCATACAATGGAGTATCACTCAGGTGTCCGTAGGAGTCTGGTCGTGATGCACACGACACTGTGCACGAACACGGAAAACATCACAGCACGTGAAACCAGTCATGGCGCCTGTCGGCTCTTCCTCCCGGGATCAGACGCCAGTCGAGGATGGAACTGGGCCAGCCTCCTCCTGCGGGGGCCATGGAGTATCAGAACAGGCCAGCGCCTGTTCCTGAAGCTGCAGTCCTTGTCACGGGGCGGGGGGGGGGGGGGGGGGGGGAAGACGGGGGTCGGCCAGAGCAACTGAGACTGTGAGCTCTGACATGTGGGGTCTGCACAGGATCGACGGCGTGCACCTGCCATGGTCGAGTGCACGCTGCTGTGGCAGGCAGTGGGACCCCCAGGGTGCAGAGTCACCCACCTCGTAGATAAGAAGGCTGTGACGGGGCCAGGTCACGCGGTGGGCAGCACTGTGCAGTGCTGGGGCGCAGCCCCCTCGGGGCGGTGAGATCTCGCTCCTCACTCCATGTGCTGCTGGCTGAGCATTAGGGATCTGGAAAGCTGAGCAGTGCCAAACCTCCTTCTGCAGAGACTCCCGGAGAAGACAGCAGTCAGAGCCCCCACCTGCCTCGCCCCCGTCAGATTCAGGGCAGCCGGAAAGTGGTTATGGTGGGTGAGCCATAACCAAAACAGAGAGATGGGCTGTCCCCAGGAGCCCCCTCCAGCCTGTGCAAGGGGCGAGGGGCTGGCGGGGTAGACAGGAGCCCGACACCCACCCAAAGGACTCAGTCATCAGAACGAGGCCGGGGATGTCACCGCTGCCTGTCACTGGGGGCCGCGGGGGGGGGGGCTAGGACAGCGGGGGGGGGGTGCCCCTGACTTCCAGGGGTGAGAGCCAGACATGCAATGCGTGTGGGGCTGTTTCTTCCTGGGGGGAGTCTCCAGGTGGGGAGCTGGGGGACGCCACAGCTCTTCAGCCCCGGACGACATGTGTGCTTTCCTTTTCCTCCTGAGTAAACCTGTGTGTTCACTTGCTGTGCAGCTGTAACCATTTACTACCAACTTGAGGGCTTGAAACAACAGAACTTTATTCCCACTCAGACCCGGAGGCCGGAAGTCCAAAATCAAGGTGTCGGTAGGGTTGTGCTCCCTCCCGAGCTCCAGGGGCTCTAGCCTGGACTTCCAGGGCTTGTGGCCGTGACCTTCCACCTCTGTCCTCAGGTGGCATTTCCTCTCTGTCTCTGCCCTGCGTGTCCCTTATAAGGATACTTGAGACACTACGTAGGCTCCCCCAGGGAACCCAAGACAATCCCATATCGGGGTCCCTATTTCAGTCACACCTACAAAGGTCTTTTTCCTAAAAAGGTCACACCCACAGGCTCCAGGCATTAGGAACATATCTTTTGGGGGCTACCAGTCAACGGCTGCACTTAGAGAGGCCGGATTGAGGTTCTGGGACGCTCTCCCGGACCCCTCCCACCCTGCACCAGAAACAACAGGGAAAGCCCCCACACCTGGGGGCCCATGTGGGGTCAGCTCACATCAGGGCTGCAGGAACCTCTTCGCTATCATAACATGTGATGTTTCCACAAGCCCAGAGCCCTGGAAATTGCCATGCGCACAAATGTTTTCAGATGGAACTGGGAGAAATTTCTAACTATCAACAGACACTCCCAGAAAAACAGAGGCTGATCCCCAGAACCACACGGGGTAGGCAGCTTGGCCCCTTCCTCCTGACCGGATCAAAGGCGGCCCAATGGGTGGTGGTGTTGATTCCGTTCTTCCTTTGAGAGATAATGGCATTGGCTGGTTTCCAGCTGACTGCGGAAGAGCATGGAGAACCCCGTCCTGAAGGGAAGGTCATCCCCACTGCACCAACAGCATGGGATGTGTTTCCCGTGTGGGCGGGCTTGTGCCCTGGGAGCCTTCTTGGGGGTGCCTACAGTTGCCAAAGGCTCTCTCAGGGGAGCTTCACCCCCGGCTGGCCCCGGGCCACATTCCTGCTCCCTGGTCCCTCAGAGTAGATGCCGTCATGCCCCCTCCAAGCCACTGGATCCTTGGAACTCTGAGCTCTGAGCTCCCGGGCCTGACTCAGGGGCCTTGACAAGCAAGATCACAGAGGTTTGCACACATGAATGCGGCAGTCTCTCCCCCAAGGTGGCTGCTAATTGGGGAAACCCCCTCTCCACCACAACTCCACTGATTTCCTTCTCCACCTCCCCGTGCACTGACCCCCAGTCTCTTGCTGGAGAACCCACTCCTTCCCCTTCTGGCCCTGACCCCGACGGTCCAGGCCAATTTCCTGGCACCAGGTGTGGTGGGGACTGTGGTCCCGGTCCTGGCTGAGCCTTCTGCTGCTCCAGCCTTCTCTGCACCTCAGGCCGGCCCAGCCTGTATCCTGCATAGCTCTGCTGGCAGACAGCAGAAGGCCAAGACCCGGAGCTGGTGGACCTCCGTTTCTGGTGCTTTGCAGTCCCTGGGGTCCTGGTGCAGCCTCCCCGTGGGCTGGCCAGAACCTCCCTGCCCACCAGCTCTCAGCCTCTGGGAAGAGGGGACCATAAACTGGAGCAAACTTGGAGAGGGCTTTTGCAGAGAACACAGTGGCCCCAGGAGCAGCTGGGGCTCCGGGGGCTCCTCCCTTGGCCCTGGGCAGGAGTGGGTTCTGGGCCACAACAACTCCAGTCTGCAGCTCAGACCCTGGGGCTGCCTAGTTTGCCCTGTCTATCCCCCAGCGAGGCCCCAGCACTGCAGTCCCACCCCAGCCGTCCCCAGGCCTGCGTGCCATGGCA